ACCATTATTTTAAATTGAAATTTGTTATAGCATTTGTGTATCAAAATACATTTGATCATTTTATTGTTTTTCATCTATGCAGTGGTAGCTCGTAACTTAAAAATTGGAGGTTCACAATAAGAAAATACAGGTGGCAGTACATATTTAGGTGAAACATTTTCAGTGTTTCGGAAAGACTTATAAACATTAAAAGTTTTTCACCTAAATCTGTTCTGATATTTATATTTCGTCACTGCGAACCCCCAATTTTCATAAAATATAGGTCAGCGGTTCTCAAAGTGTGCTCCGCGGATCCCTAGGGCTCCGCAAAACCTCAGTGGGGGCTCCTCGAAAATGCTAATCATAATAAAAAAAAAAACTAAATAAGTACTATAAGGTTGCAGAGTAAAATAAATATTCCAATATAAAGTTTAAAAAATCAATTTTTATTATTTTAGGGCTCCGTCAAATATTTTGCTTCTCAAAAGAGTTCCGTTACTAAAAAAGTTTGAGAACCGCTGATTTAGATAATAGGTAGATGAGTTTGGCTTGAAAATAGCCTTTTTCATATGTTGTAACTTTTTAACGGTGTATAAAATTCATTAAAATAAACAACTTTTTTAAATAACTTTTTAAAAATGACTCAACAATAAGAAACATACACCAATTTATTTTAAAATTTATCCAATAAGGTCCTGTCTTAGTTGTGTAGAACTTTCTACGAAACATGTTGATCAAATTGTTAATTGAATTGTTGTATTGCATTGTTGATCACATTCATGCCGTTTTAAGAACCATTCAGAAAACTGAACTCTACTGAAGAAATCTTCAAGTTGTAATGCTTGAACACGTTGAACGTAAAAGGAATATAATTGATTTTCCTGCAGTATTGCCCAGACTTTTTTCTGACTCATCCTACCTAATCTACAATCACCCGGACCTTTCTTTCTCGAATTAATGGGTAATTAATTAACGTTTTATATACACAGTTATACTAAAAATATTACAACAAAAAAATTTGCATGCAATTCAAGTGAAAAGTTCGTTGCCACTTTTGACATATTTCTGTCTCAAGCGGCAAAGTATTACTTTCCGCTCTTAATACACAATAGCCTCGCGACGCCTAGCGGAGCGCGGCAATCTGTTGAAAGCGGCAACGAACTTTTTGCTCAAAATACATACAATATTTTTTCTACGATTACACTTTTTAAGAAATAGATATAAAAATTGAGAGTTTGACGTAAGTTGTATAATGTGTTACCTATACGTTAATTATTAACAAAACAGTTGATATTCATAGTCCATGTTATCTTGGATAATGTAACAAAAAACATATGATTTAAAAATCATTAATAAAAAAGAAATATTATCATGTTATAGCTAATTCAAATTAGGAGAGCAACAAAGTTGTCAACTTTGCAGTTGGATTTCGAAGCGCAAAAGCCTACTTTGGATAGTAATCGTAGAAATATTTATTTTTTTAAGATCACTTTCCAAAGTGGGCTTTTGCGCTTCGAAATAAAACCCCTAAGTTGACGTTTTCTACGAATTGACATTAAGTTACAGCTTTGTAGCTCGCCGAGCGGTAAACTTGACAGCTTGATGCTCGCCTAATTTAAATTAGACAATATATTAATATTTATTTTTAATAAATGATTTTGAAGAGTTTGATGTTTCTTGTTTTATTATCCAAGTTAACATTGACTTTAAATATCAACTCCTTTTTTCATAAACAACGTAGTTACAGGCAACATATTATACACTTCTTACAACAAATTTAAAATTATTATATCTATTTCTTAAAATAATGTGATCGTAAAAAAATGTGTGCATTTTGAGCGAAAAGTTAGTTGTCGTTTTCGACACATTGCCGTGCTCTGCTATACGTCACGTGGCAACTTTCTGTCTCAAGCGGAAAAGTATCACTTTTCGCTCTTAACACACAAATAGCTATTTTCGACCTGGAATATTATGGACTATTGGTGTTGGGCGAGAATGAAGCAGTAGAATCATTATTTTTTTCATTTTACAAAAAAGACGCATCAACCTAGAGTTATTGGCGAAATAGTTTAACATTATATTTTGGATAAGTTAATGTTGGTTAAGTATTTAAAAATATTGGTTACATTACAATTTTCACCTATATCTAGTTTTAAATTATTATTTAAGTCAGTGTTTGATCATCCAGCTTGATATTTTGGGCATTGCACTATAAAGTGTTTATTTGCGAGTTGTACATATCACATAGTTCGCAGTAAGGGGGGGGGGGGGGGCGTTTTAGAGACCAGATAGCCATGCGTATGTCTTGTGCGACCTAGTCGAAATCTTCTCATTCTTACTTGCAAAGAACTTACTTACAAGAAAGGACTGTAGGTTTAATTTCGCGTAGTTTTAAATAAGAGTTACACCATTCCTTTGCCACAAATTAAAGATTTTTGATTTTATACGTTCCGCACTTCACGCACGGTTTCACTGGCAGGCGGCAAAGACTGCTTCCTCATTGTCTTTAACTCCAATATGAGAAGGAATCCATATAAATTCTACGCTGCAGCCTTTTTGTATTATGTGGCATAACTTGAATTTAATATTGCTATGGAATAGCTAGTATACAGTTGGTTTATTGTATGACTGACGCTTATAGAGTCTGACATTATTACTGTTTTTGATATAAATATTATTACTATTTATGTAAATAAGGGCCTGTAGGATGGCAAAGAGTTTTGAAGTGTATAAACTGGTTATTTCGAGAAGCTTATACTGTAGTAACATATTTGAGGTATCAACAGCTGCACCTACACCATCGACAGTTTTCGAGGCATCTGTTGTAAATGTGGTTAGAGTTTAGACGATTGTTCAGTTTGGAATAGAAGATATTTCTAAGAAAGGTATAAGGTGTGTTCCTTTTACTGAAATTGTTTAGAGAATTGTTTGTAGAAGGTAATGAAATTAACCAAGAAGATATGTTTGTTGGGTTGTTTGGAAAAAATGTGGAAAGTTCTAAGTTGATTGAGCTTAGTGTATGTCGAACTCTTTTATAAACAGGTTTGTCTAAGTTGTTATTTATTCTGAATAAATGTTTACAACGGTCTGTGTATGTGTTATTGTAAACAGTATTTTATTGTTGCAGCGTATGCTAGAATACGGTAGAACAGAGCTTTGGATAGGGCCAAGTTAATTTATGGTGCTCTTTTTAGCTGATGCGTATAATATGGAACCGTAGTCTATTTTGGAACGTATTAGTGCTTTAAATATATATTAGTATGGAATAGTTTGATCCCCATTTTATGTTTGAAAGGGTTCCGGGAAAATTTATTAAATGTTTCCTAGAAAGTTTGATAACAAAAATCATACCTAAGAATTTTACGTTGTATACATAGTTTAGAGAAAGGTTGTTTAGTTTTAGTTCTGGATTAAGAGGTTGATGTTTTTTGGAATATATCAAACAATTCGTGTTGTCGATCGAAAACTGCAGTCCGGTTACTTTGATCAATTTTGTAGGGTATTTAGAGTTTTTGTAGCTGTCTTTGGATTGATTGGATATTTTATGCTTTAGAAAATATTACCAGATCACCATCACACAATCTACCTTTGACGAGTCTAGGGAAGTTTTTTAAAATAACATTGACTGCAATGAGGAAAAGAGTTGCGCTTATTACAGAGCCTTGCGAAGTTTGCGAGTGCTTCGTAGATTTTAGATTCCAAGTCTATTAAATTACCCACTGTTGAGCGTTTTTTTAGAAACTCGCTTTGTTCTTGAAATAAAAGATTTTAATTTTCCAATATAAAAAGAAGTCTTTTATTGACTATTTTTAATGTATCTTATAAAGATATTGGATGATATGAGGTTAATTTGGCTATAGGGCTTCCAAGTTTGGAAATAGTTATGACAGTGGCTACTGACCAAAAAGCTAGAAATGTGTTAGTTTTTCAACTATGATTATACAGATAGCATTTAAAAAATAAAGGGAATTTCTGTAGAAAATTTCAGGGCGGGGTAAAGGTTTTCAGTTTCGAAAAATCGATTTTTTTTGTCTTATCTTATTGTTTAATATTTCAAGAATATGTCCTTAAAATTTTAAGCCGATATAAGCAATATTCTTAAAGTTATTCTCTTATTAATCTCCTGACCTTTAACGCTATAATTCTAACAGCTGCGGGCGGTCGGGATAGCAGTTGTACTCGTATGTATACTATACACTACAATATTTTAAAAGAAGAAACGAGCGTCAGTTTGTCGTTAGAGGTTCGACCGTGCGCATTTTATAATTTTCTCAAAAAATTTCCTGTACAAAAATGCCGAGAGTAAGCAAAATTTCGAGAGAAGACCAACAAAGTGGAAGGACTTATTTGTGTAGATCAAAAAAAAAAAGGTTTAATTTGAATAAAATAATTAAAGATGAGGCTATCACAAAAAGTGCTTCATCGAAGAAAATAAAGCTAAATGCTAGTGCAAGTGTACCAGAAGACGTTGAAAAACATTACAGAATCATCGATTTTTGTTTGTTTTTTCAACCATCGCAAGTTTAGTGAAATGTGCTCAGTGTGATGGTTCAGTTGAGTTCAAAAGCTGCAAAAAAGAAGGCCTTGGCTTCCAAATCTAAGTCAAATGTGCAAATTGTGATCCACGCTTTATACCGTCGAGTGAGGAAACTGGTCATCGCTATGAAATCAATACTCGTTTTGCCTTTGTAATACGTATATTAGGTTTGGGTTTAGCTGGCTGCAATAAATTTTGCGGGCTCATGGACATGGCAAGTAGTTTTTTATCTAAACCATTTTATTTGGATCTCATGAAATCAATTAGCTGCAGCATCAAAACGACTGCTGAAAAATTTCTTGCTTCCGCCGCAGACGAATAAAAACAGCAAACACGTGCAAATTCGGAGTCAGACACTTTGACAGTTTCTGGTGACGGCACGTGGCAGAAGCAAGGCTTCAGCTCTTCCTTTGGCGTCACTTCCTTGATTGGATATTGGTCTGGAAAAGTTATCGATATTTTCATAAGTAGTTTGCACTGTCAGGCTTGCAAATTATGGAGAAAGCAATTAAATACTAATGAATTTAAAGAGTGGTACCAAGAACATGTTGAAAATGATGAATGCCTAGCCAATCACACCGGACCATCAGGTAATATGGAAGTTAATGCTGTTATCGAATTGTTCCGCCGATCAGTAAAAAATTACGGAGCAAAGATCAGAAACTATATCGGAGACGGTGACAGTAAAACTTACGGCAATTTAGTGAAAGCTAAACCTTACGGTGAAAATTTTACTATAAATAAAAAAAAATGTGTAGGTCACGTGCAAAAAAGGATGGGTAAACGTCTACGTGATCTAGTAAATAAAACTATAAAAAATAAACTTGTAAAACCCGGAAAAAATGCTGGTAAAACAAGGCAAAGTAAGTTACTCGGCGGCAAAGGAAAGCTCACTGGAAAAGTCATTGATAATTTGAGTTGATACTACGGATCAGCAATCAGACATAATTGTGATTTGCTGGAAGGAATGAAAAATGCAATCTGGGCAACGTTCTACCACCAGCAGTCAACAGACGATAACCCTCAACACCATAAGTGCATGAGCGGTGAGAACTCGTGGTGTCCATATCAAAAAGCTTTGGCCACAACAGGAGAGGAAAATTTTAAACATGACTACACTCCACTTGCAGAAGATGTCATACAAGCGATCAAACCGATATATGAAGATTTGAGTAAATACGAACTTCTAAAAAGGTGTCTTGGAGGCTTTACTCAAAATGCCAACGAAAGTTTGAACCAGCTGATTTGGAGAATTGCACCGAAAAAATTATCTGGCAGCAGACAAATTGTTGAATTTGCATCTTATGTAGCTGCATGCACTTTCAATGAAGGTGCTGGTGCTTTCCTAACTTTTCTGTCTGACATGAACGTCAGCGTCGGCCCAAGCGCTCATGATTATGCGACATTCGCGGACAGCAATCGCATTGACACGGCGGCTGAGATTCAAGCTGAGCAGAAGAGCAAAGAAGGCAGAATGAAACAAAGACTTGAGAGACAAGAGGCTGAAGACATCGACAATGCCGCAGGAAGTCTGTTTTATGGAGCTGGAATCTATAATTCTGTGTAATTTGGAAAAAAATAATTTTTTTCTTCACTATTTTAGTTCATAAACTTTAGACGCGTTTTTCTCAACACTACTTTTTCAAAGCTACTTGACCGATTCATTTTAAACTTTGTACACATTTTCGACATATAAAATACCGCCCCCCAATGTTTAGTTAATTTTTTTTTGTACAGGGTTTTTCATTATATTTTGACCACTACTTATTTTCATTATTCTTGTGAACACGAAAAAAGTTCCAAGTAAAAGCTTTGTTGTTTTCCTCAACTTTTTCGGCCACAGTATAACCCATTACAAGCAATCAGTTGACAACTTTTAATAAACAAACAACTGTTTCACTTGGAAACATAATTTTCATAGCCATCTACGAGTTACGCTTTCATAGTGTAATAAGTCACTAATAATTAAAATATTATATATTTGTAATCAGGAAATGAAAGTTTTCTTAAAATGACAAAAATATATAGGGTGTCCCATTAAAAAAATGAAATTATATTTTGTTGGGGGCGCCCTGTATATACAATTCTGCCAGTTATTACATTTTTAATCGGTACGGGTAAAACAACAAAGCTTATACTTAAAACTTTTTTTGTATTCGCAATAATAATGAAAATAAGTAACGGTCAAAATATAATGAAAAACCCTGTACATTAAGGGTGTTTCCCACCCACAAAATTGCGGAATTTTTCGTAGAAAATAACAGTTCACACTTTTGATGGCCGCCAAAAATTTTTAAATGAAAAAAATATCAGAGAACGTTGGGGGAAAATTTGATTATAATTTAACTAATTTTTATGTTTTTTTATTTTCAGATAATTTCCGGCCGAGTTATGTTGAACACCGCAAATTGTTTTTTCCCAAGACGTTCTGGGGGAAGCTCTGTTACCGGCTTATGATTCAATAATTCTGCATGAAAAAATTACACAACATTGTCAAAAGTATGCCCAATAATGTAGAAAAGGTTTGAATGAAATTGCTCAATCCATATTTGAGAAAAAAATCGCAAAAAAGTGTTTTTTTACGCTGAAACCCTTACCCCGCCCTTAAAGGAATGCTTTCTGGGCTTTTGAGTTATTTTTTATTGCGAAATTTAATTCTTCTCTAGTAATTGGAATATTAAAGATATTAATTTGATTATCGTTAAGATCTATCTCTTCAATTTCTTTACGTATTTTGAAAATCCTCAGTGAAATTGAAATTGCTAGAATTTTTTTCGAAATAATTGGCAAACATTTCAGTAATATCTTTTCTTTTTTTAATAATATATTTTTGTTTGCTGTGGAAATTATTATCTCCAGTAATTTTTCTAATATTATCCCATATTTTATTTAGAGGTGTTGACATGTTTATACTGGAATCAAAAGTTTTCCAATAAGTTCTTCGGTTTTTTTAATAGTATTTTGCCGTGGCTGTATTTTTTTTTGTATTTTATTAAATTGGTTATTGATTTATCTCTTTTGTTTCTTTTAACATGTTTTGCAGTATATTCGATTAATTTAATAAATGATTAATTTAAGATTTTATCTATGTTTGTAGTCTGAAAGTTTTTTGTTAGTGTGTGAATATTTCTATCAATATAACTTATAAAGTTGGTCTAATCGGCATATTTAAGATTCCTTATTATGCTTTATTTTATCTAATCAAATATCAGACAGTATGCAGATTTTTATTTGGTAATGGTCACTTGAATACAGAAGAAATGTAATATGGTACCAAGAAACAAGAGAAAATTTAATTGGATCACATAGTGACAAATCGGTTGCTGATTTTGTATCTGAATGTAAGTTTAATCTAGTAGGTCTTCCGTCGTTAAAAATATTTATGCTGAGTATTTAAAAAATATTTTTGATTACCTTTCCTTTAGCATTAAGTTAGGAAGAACCTCATAATGGATTGTGATAGATGCAATCTTCCCATAATAATCGAAGTGATGGGATTTGTGACATAATGTTGGCCATTTCTCCTGATTATCTAATAAATATATTCAGAAGGAATGTGGATGTTGCAAATATTAATTGGGTTTGAAATTTTTATTGATACTGCTACGTCTTTTCAGATTGTGATAACAGGAATAAATTTGGAATTATTTACGAATATTGGTACGCCTGCACTTGCTCTATCCGAATTTTCTGTTTTTGAAAAAGCAAGAGTGGTTTTTGAGTGAATAACAAAGTTTTCTTAAAGTTTAGTACTTGTAAACATATTATTGATGAAGAAATTTCGGAAAATAGTTTTTTAAAAGTTTTGTAATGGACATAAAACCTATTTATGTTCCATTGTAGTAGATTGAGTTCTGTTAATAAAATTTCATTTGGGATTCCTGAGATAAACTCAACGATGTGTCTGAATTAAACTCTATTTCCTCTGGTTTAGTAATTTTATGCTATGGTTATTAGCCTCGTATTCTGTGTAGGCTTTGTTACTGTTTCCCAGCGTCACTTTGGGAACAGCACTGTTAATTAGTACCCAACAGTGAAATGGTCGAGTGGGCAATCCTACCAAGGCATCAGAATTAATTTTAAATAATTAAATTAAAAAATCCCGGCCAACGGTGGGATTCGAACCTGGGACCCTTGGATCCGCAGGCAGAGACTCTACTACTGAGCCACCCACTCCAGTTGTAAAACTATGTATTTTGGCAATTAGCTATATTTGATCTGATGAACCATGGATATTTTCTAAAAGGTTGACAATTTCCATAAATGATAAAAAAATTTAATTATTAAATAGTTGTCTGAAGAGATTCATTTGTTCTTGCAATAAATTAGTGGTTTTTTAAAGTAGATTTGGCTTTGTTTTTTTTTTTTTGTTTTCTAGGATTGATAAAAGTGTTAGAGACATTTTCTTCCTCCATTGGTGGTGTATCAATTTCCGTTGTATTTTGTTTAGTTTAGAGGATTTTTTAATGCTTTCATTTTAATGTTCTTTGTATATGTTTATAGAAAGCAGTTTTGGGTAAATATTTGGAGTTGAATCGCTTGTCTCGGGAGTATTTAGACCTTGGGATATTGGTTGAGTATTTGATAAAATATTTGTGCTAGGTATGGTTGTTAAATTTGTTGTCAAGGTAAGTAATTTGTATATTTATTAAGGAAAAAGCATTTATTAGGCTGTGATGGCGATAAGGTGCATTAGTTTAAAGTGACCGTGTTTTTTGCAATGATAAAATAAATTCTCTACAGCAAGAAAGATGCAATAAGTACTATTTTCTAGGGTGATCAAATAAATACTAGACGTCTAAAGCTGAGCATATGTTTATAGTCGGGGCTGGACGTTCCTATTCTTATAAGCGATATTGTTTACGACTTTTTTAAATTTCGTTTTTGAAGTTTTCTGTATGACGTCATTTGGAATGGAATGGCATACGTTCGACAAAATATGTCTTTACTTAATGTGGTAAGTCAACGTGCTAATATGTCTTTATTATTTACCTTCATACGTCCTCAATTTTTAATAATTATAACGTCATCGACAATATTTTTATTTTTAAGATACACGCAGATTCTATTATTGCAGATCCATAAAGCAAACACTATATGTTTGGGGTTTATGATTGATCCAAGAGCAATTAGACATATGCCGAGTTTAATGCCATTTAGTGATTGAAATACAATAGCCTGTATTTTAGTAATAAAGGTAGGTTGTAATGGTGTGTTAGCCACTTTCGAATAAACGGCGATTTGGCTTGAAGTTGACGATTCTGATGTTGAATTTTAAGAATTTATAGTAGGTTGTGGTGTTGAAAATTGTTCAGATAAATATTGTTGTTGAAGTGGAGATAGTAATTGTTGATGTGGTGTTACACAATTTGTTGAGATTGTGAGACTGATTGGTCGCTAGTGCTGTGACTCGCAGCATTATTATTTTCTTTCTCTTTGACTACATTAGTTAAATCTAAGTACGGTCCTGTACCGTCCTAGAATTATCTAATAACATTTTGAAGCAGATTTTTAATATTGTCCTTGACTCGAACTATTGTCTGGTTGGTTTATTTATATAAATAACAATCTTACTTTTATATGCAGATATTGTACAATAATTGAATATACACACACGGTACTATTTCTTGATAAATAAATTGTTTAAACTTTGATATTTTAAAAAAATTTCGGAGCTGGTTTTACACTCTTTATTTGTATTTTGATTAGAGCCAAACACCAGCATTATTTTTGGTGTATCATTTTTCGTTTCAATATAAATTGCTTAAGTTTCATAAAGGGTTTTTTTAAATTAAATTACGAAGCGACTTGCGACACCTTTATACCCATACGTGTTTCTGGTTTTCCGGAAATAAGACATGACCAAAAATAGTAATCGTAATCACTAACAAATGCAATGGTATAGGTCATTTACTGAATTTACACCCATATCGGATTAAGAAACAGATGCACGACTGAGCCGGTCTACAGGATAATTTCGCATCAGGTAGTTGAGTAAAATAAGCGTAGTCCTCCGGTGGGTAGAGGGTGAATATATTTTATTTATTAAATACTTATATAGTATGTAATTATGTTTATTAAAATTAAATTACTAAAGTAATACACGAAAAAATAAAAATATTTATAATTTTGTTTTGGACATTATTTATGATAATACCATTTTCCCCAAATACAATAAACGCTTTATGGTCAGGAATTTCCGGAAGTCCCCTTCTCAGGTGTAAAATTAAGATTAAATGTTTTATTTTTGTACTGGTGTTATAGGACTAATTGCGCTAAATTTTTAGTTCAGTTTTGGATTTCGAAGAGAACGTATGTCGAAACTGAAAATGCCGAAGCGCGTGTTACGTGTAGATGACTTAATTTGTAATCTGCATAAGTATTTTACGGCGAAAAAAGATAACGGAGGACCTTTAAAGCCAGTAGTGAGTGTGCATGAACGCATCTGTACAGCTCTCGGTATTAGTGATTCAAAATTAAAATATGTTTTGAAAAACGTCAAAAGCGCAAAAAACTGAAAATGTCGGATATATCTGGTGGGACAAAATTTCGTATTCGTGATATGGT